GAGGAGGGAAAGGGAGAGAGGAGGAGAGAGGAAGCAGGGGGAGGGAGGGAGGGAGGGAAGAGCGAGAGTGGGGGGGTGCCTTGGCAGAGTTAACTCCTTCGGTGCTGGCAGGAACCCGGATAATGGGAAAAGCGCTAGCAGCAGAAGCAGGGAGGCCCTACAGCAGATGTGGAGCCCTGGCCCGACACGGGCTGGTGCGGATCGCAAAGGCAAAGAGGAGGCCTCGCACATATCGCGGACGGAAGCCCTCAGACCTGGGCTGGACGCCTCCATGGCTGTTTGAATACTGGAGGAAGACCACGTCCCCCAACCCAGCACTGGGGGGTAGAGGTGGTGGTGCAAAAGAGGGACCGGACCGGAAGGAACCCTTGGGGTCTGATTGTGTCTTAAGACTTAAACTCTTTGGTCCCTGAAATTGGAGAGCAGGTACTTTCTCCAGTGTCTCCAAGCCCCTAGGCCAGACTCTGGTCTTTCTCCCCTGAGATCCCAAGTCTCCGTGTAAAACCAGCCCTGCCTGGTGCCACCCTCTTACCTGACTCTCTGATAGGGAGGCTTCGTAATAGTCCAGGATGTCTGTCACAGAAACAGAAGTGAGTTAGCCTCCTCCACCTTCTCAGGCCACCTGTGCCATCCTCTCGCTCGGTGGGTGAGGCTGTGCGTGGAGGTGGAGAACGCCCGGGGAAGCTCCACACTGGGCTGAAGTCCACACACGACTGCCTTCGGAGGCCCAGGCCAGCCCCTTCCACTGCTGTCGGAGTTACTCACCCAGCAGGGCCTGGAAGAGGTCACTGTGTAGCACGGTGAGGAGTGGGGGTGCCCACCGCAGTAGTGGAGGGGCCAGGAGCCAAAGAGCTGACCGGGGAGCTAGTGGAATGCAGGTGAGGGAGGAGAGGAGTGAGGCAAGAAAGAGACCAGCCTCCCCAAGATCTCCACATCTCTGGTCTTTCACCCAGATCCCAGGGAAAGGCTGGGGAGAAGTATCCCGGAGTCCTCATTCACCCAACCCCCCAAGTCCACTCCAGGACCTCCTCACAAGAACCCCCTGTCTTTCACCTCTTGGTCTCTGCGACATCTCTCTTCTCTCACTTTAATCTCCCTAATCCCCCAGATTGGAGTTGAGCTGCCTTCACCCAACCCAATTTTAGCTGTTCAGTGACTGTCTCAGAAGACACCTGACCTGCTGGCAGATTCTACTCTTCCCCAAGTCTCCAGACACCACCCCAGGAATCCCCCCCCCCTTTCTATAACAGAGCATCATTGAGCTACATTCTCCCGAGGGCTTGGGAAGGAGGGTCTCCCCCAAAGTGGCTCCTGCAACACCAAAGAAAAGAAGCCTCACCCAGCTCACTTTCCTCCTGAGCTTGTCTCCAGTGGGGCTTGTGAACAGGAAAAACACTCACTACTGTTGAATGGCTGCCGACTCCTAGCCAACTTCCAGGACAGGGTAGAACTGCCCCCGTGGGTTTCTGAGACTGCCACTGTTTATGGGAGTAGACTTTCTCTGAAGAAGGGTCTGCCAGACCAGTGTGTAAACACTGTGGGCTATAAATTATCAAGAACCTCTTGCTGCATAAATGGAGAGGAGGAAGTTGCTCAAAAGTCTGCCCTGACAATGGAAGGATGTACGGATTGTGATAAGAGTTGTACGAGCCCCCAATAAAATGATTTAAATTTTAATAAAAGCCTGCCCTGGGCACAGAGGTTTCTGACATACTGGAGGGCAAAGAGAGAGAGAGAGAGAGAGAGATGAGTGGAGAGTTCGGGGACCCCATGGAAGAGGCAGTGGGCATAGGGGTCTTTCTACTGTACCATTTTAGGTGTTTCAAGAGTTAGCTCAGTCCTGAAATTGACTTGTGATGAATGCAAAACTCTGCTGGGTAAGATTGGACAATTCAATGGTATGATTCGGTGAATTATATGCCAATAAGGCAGATTACGTATAAAAAGAGCTAGGCCAGAGGAAGATGTATAAACTGGAACACTCACACTGGGGCTGAGTCTCCCGGCTACCATTCTTTCCTTTTGTTTCGATGGCAAGAGATGGATTTCACAACTCTTTTAAAGTCATCTCATCTTCCTTGCCTGTGTATCACACACAGCTCATCTTCCCTGCCTAGCCTAACTGCTCCTGGAAGTCCTCCCCTCAGTCTACCCTTCATCTCTCTAAGCACAGTCCCGGTGCTGTCCCGTGCAATCGCACCGTCCTTTCTGAGGCTACACCGCTGGCAGGGCAGGTAAAGGTGGAGGGGTCTGGGGACGTCTGGAAGCGCGCCAGGTCCGCCAGAAGGCGAAGGCTCGGGCGGTGGAGGGGCTGCGGAACTACCGCTCCCGGCATGCCCCGCGGCCCGGAAACCCCACCCGTCCACCCGTTGCGTTCCGGAGTCAGCCACGCTCGGGGGGC